CTGGGCTGCTCTGATACTGTACACACAGACACAGATACACATGACCAACAGGAAGGATGGGTGTTAGAGACAATGAGTATCAGTAGTATGACGTTAAGGGATTGTATTTTGTGAACACTATTTCTAATGTTCACAAAATACACGTGATGCAATGTGATGCTCTTACTATGAGGGACTGGAGTGTGACTAATGGAGGTGTAGAATTATGGTTCTTCTTACCATTGCTAACTCTGAGAGACGAGACAGTCCAAGTAACTTCAAAACAATGCTGATTTATCCAAAGGATCACAGGTAAAATTAACATTACATGCTCAGGTATCTTGCACCTCCACACTGCTCGCAGGCAGATGTAAGATGAAAGACCCTGAACCCACCAGGCCTATACATTATATCACCTCGGTTGGGCTAGCCCCATACTACACAGAAACGTCAACCGAGACGTCTCTCTTACCAGCTTTGCAGCTGGCCATAGCAGTAGTCAAAACATGAAGCAAATCAATGTGTGTGTGTCTGTTGGTTAAGTGGTGTGTAGCTAAAAACATTCTCACAGACTTCTAGTAACATGTCGTGACTTAAACATAAGAACATATTATGGCTAAGGCTACAGTTATACACGCCATAATAATAATATTAAACACCCTGTCTGCTGACAGTCATCAACTCTTCTCTCTAGTTATCCTTGACCAGATGTACCCTGTAGAAACTCATAAGCATGCCTAAGCATTTAACAGTCTAACTAGACATCCTATCTCCACTAAACATTTCTAATACATAAAGTATCTATCCAATTTCTATCTGACTAAAAATACCTAACAGAGGGCAGGGGGGTCTTACAGTCAGGCTGCTTATTAAAAGAATGGTTTGCTTATTTTCAGTCTACCATGAGTCAGATGAGAAAATTGATGGCTGATTCTACTCCTGTAGGCTAGAGTATGGATCAGGCTGCATATTTCTGTCCGAACACAGTTGAGTCTGTGTTGTGTTTTTCTATGGCCCTCCTGAATCTAAACTCATGGTTTTATTTGTGATATGCTTAACTGGCTCATCATTTTAATTTTAATAGGCCTAGCACTTTACAATAGCCTATGCTAAAGAAAAAGCATGGATTCATTTAAAAGTGCTATTGCAGCTGTTTAGACTAAAGTCTGACCTACGTGGCCAGACCTGACCCAAACCCAAGCATGAGTTCTAAAGTTCTGTCCGAATCCAACCTGACATGTTTACACTTTGAATTTTCTACAAAGTATACAAACAAGAAAGTCTTAACTAGTGAGTATTACCTTCGCATGGTGACATGCTAGCTGTTTTCCATATCCAGCATTTAAGCTAGGCTAAGCTAACTGTCTATAGACTGTAGCTTCAAATTTAGGGTATTTAACTACTGGCAAGAAAGTGTATTTCCTAAAATATGGAACAACCCCTTTAAAGATCACTCACTCTGAGTGGACGAGCAGACAACACCACCAAAGACTATAAAAAAGTTGTCACTTCACACAGCAACACTTTATCTATCACGATGGGCTAACAGACAGGAAGACATGCTTCTGTCACTAGCGTGTGGAAAGATGTTGTTCTCTTCTGATCATCACAGACACTGACAGCTTTGTCTGAATAGCCAGATAACATAGCAGGTTAATGCTTAGGTCAACAGCATGGTGTCAGCAGGAGGTTATCACAGCCCTGAGCTCCCCGTGTGATGGTCGGCACTGATAAGCAGGGGTCAGGTTACTGATGGAGGCACAAGAATTGCAAACACAAGCTAGCCAGATGAAAAGGCTAGAGTCAAACTAGCTGATTTTAGTTTCAAAGCAAAGTTGGACAGAATCCAAATGTAGAAAAATACGCAGAAAATCCAAATTCAATAAATTCCAGGGTTTTTTTTTATCAAGAGCAGTGGTTTCCCCTCCAGACTGTCCCAAAGCTGCAGGGGTTCTGCTGACACACATATAGACCCCTGCTTTAACAATACATCCCTCTGTTTGTTCATAAAAACAGTGCTGTTAATTCATCCAATATTTGGGCACAGTACTGTTTGAAAATCCCCTAATTTGATGTTTAATTACAAGTTATGATGACTGCTTAGAAACAATTCAAAGGAATGCAGGACCATTTGCTTTCTTTCCTTCCTTACATCCTAACTTCATTTCCTGACTTCCTTCCTTACTCCTTCATCCGCCTGCAAGACTTAAAGTGAGAAGTGATGAATTTAGACTCTCAGCTCTTCAAAGTGGCAGCTGGAGGAAGTGACAACTGGATAGAAAAGACTCTGCCATTGCCAAAATAAAAAAACAGCCCACCCTGAGGACCAGCATGCTGGCCTTTCTCACATTACCCACTTCAGCACAGCATGCTCACCGACCATACCGATCCACGGCTCCGGCCTCAAAAAGCCAGACACAGGGCTATGAAGGATGTTTCTGTGGGACGCTAGTGATGGTGTGAAACCTAAAGCCTTGACACCACAGCTCTACAATGTACGGATGACAAGCGGCCATGGTCAGGAATTCCAGGGGTCAGGGCTGGGAATCTGGGGTTCCCTCTGTCAGAGTATCTTTGAGAAGTTGGAATTTGATGTGTAATGCAAGGAAGGAGTTAACGGGTGTGAAAAGGCCCTCATCTAACTTTACAGTGTGCAGCAGCTGTTGCAATAAAGGAACTGATTACCAAGTTTAGAAATGCACATAGCTGGGATTCAGCTTTGTCAACAGGATGTTTGACAAAGACAGAAAATGTCTAAGGGGTCCTATTATGTGTGTGAATGTGTGATTGTGTGTGAACACAGTGTTTTCATCTGTGAAGAAATGAAAGAGAGGAAGAGAGATAAATCTACCTTTAATCATGCATACAAATCAAACAATCCTATATGTGGGAGCGCATAGTATGCAGTGTTTATATTCCCTGACAAAGGATGACCAGCTGGAAATAAGTTTGGAGACGCTGACAAGATTTCTGACACACTCCAAGTATGTGTGTGTTTTTAGTAGATCATGTTCATTCAGAGGACAGAATGAACGTGATCTGTGGAGTAAAGGCAGGACACTGAGGGTTTTATGGTTTTGTGTCAGCGCCTAAGAGGAAAGGTGGCGCTGACGGACAGGATGGGCTTTCAGGATAAACCTCTGAACACACACCCTTGTCCTGTACCCTCCCCTGCCTATAACCCATCACCATTTTCATCACTGGTGCCAACAGTGACATACAAGGGAAAGCTGACTCTATATTAATGCTAGACAAACTGAGACACTTGATAAATGCGGGTCAGCATTCATTTCACTAGACCTGAAGGAATCCTTCCATACTCTGAATAAGAAGCAGATTTTGAACTGGCTTAAATCATTTATAAGGAAAAGGTCCAATCATAGTATAAATGCATTGACATCTACAATACATTAGGTGTAAAGAACAGACTGATTGAATCACAATAATGAATCATGCAAAACATTTATCCTACTGCACTTGTTTAATCTTTGTCTTACTTCACATCCAGAATTCCTGCTTAATTAAATCGGCACTGGACGCACTGTAGACCCCGGCTTCATTCTATGACCCAAAAGTCTGGCTCATTAATTTATTTTAATGCAGCTCAGCACAGATACACCTGTATTCATACTACGTCTCCCTGCAGATGCTGCGATGCAGCTACAGAGGCTGAGTTTGCAAATCAATGAATTGCCTGAAACTATTATCCCCTGACCAAAAAAAAAAAAAAATCTATCTAAAAGACGCACAAACTACAACCTCAAAGAAATCACCTCAGAGTTACATTTCTCCCAGTTCACAAAACTAATCTCACCACTAGGTCCTTTCAGTAGCTGTTCTGGAGCTTTTGATCATACAACACAACCTTCCATGTCAGATAGACTTTTGCTCATTTTTGTGAGCACTTTAAGGACTTAATGATAGGATACAAAAGCTCCACAGCAGCTACTAAATCGACCTTTCGGTGAGATTATTTTATCAATCAAATAAAGTCAGGATGAACTAAAATAAATCATAGGGGAGGTCTCACACAGTTGATCCAGAATGAAGGACACACACCAAATAACAACAATGATCTCTGCTGAGCTGAGCTAAAATAATAACCTTAATAACAGCCGAGCGCTCTAATCGAGTCAGATGATGATTTAAAATCGAATTCACCTCAGTCTGTTGGCTACATGGTTGGTTTATGCAATATCAGTTGACAGTTAGGTATCTCTACTTGTATGGTTTTAAGCAAAATCTGTGGCCAGCAAATAAAGAAAGCAACTTTAGTGATGAATGATGAGCAGAAGTAACAACTTTCCACATTGCTATTGGAGAGGACACTGTGGAGCATGGAGCAGAGAAAGAGTAATCCGGGAGCCACCTCCCATCATTGCACCTACACTGAGTCACAACAAGGGCTCATGCTGCCAGCAGAGGTACAGGAGGTGAGTGGAGGGGCCATTAGAGGAGGAGATTCACCTCCCTGCACACTCACACACGTCTCTCTCTGTGGGAGTGTGTGTGCTTTCCCGTGAGTCAGTGGGGGGTGTAGTCAGTCTGATATGAAGATGACACATTCAGCCTCCATGAGGTGGCATCTACTGGATTCTACTTTTCTAAAACTGGATCTGAGGAACAAAGAATGTCATAGATGCTGTCAGGAGTCACCAATGAAACTATCTCTGCAGAACTGAAGGAGAGGATTTAGTAATGGTGCTTGTTGGGATATTTAAGTTACAGCTGCATCCCGTGGACCAGCCCAGCGCAAGCACGTCACCTCTAGACCGGGATATACCAGCATCACTAAGACCGCAGACTAAATATGAAAACGGGGTTCATATTTGGGAAAAGTGGACTAACACTTCAAAACTGATCTGCCCTGGTCTGAACCCAGCCAGGCTCAGAAACGCGCACAACACACAAAGATCAGACGCAAGCTCACAATAAATTAGATGTCGCCCTGAAAGTCCAGAGCAAATAAAAGGTAGTTTATGTATAGTATATTTATGTGTGGAGAAAGTAGTCTGACTTACCTCTAAAAAGAATGTCTCCATGTGAACTAGTCTCTAGTATCCTCGTCTCTTTGTAGTCTGAGTTCAGGGTACCACTGCTGAGGAGGAGGGGAGGATGTGTTCCCCAGTGATTTCCATCCGCCTCGATCACATTCACAAAAGTTCTTCAGTTTTTCCCCTATTCAAAAGACTCTACCCTTCATAAATGAGTCATTTTGCCGGTCTATTTTCGGACAGTTGAGGCTTCTTAACCGTGCCCCGAGAAGCCGCTGTGGTCCGCGCTGTCTCTGCTGTCTAGTGTCAATGAAGCCGGCACATTATGCGCGGAGGAGGAGCCGCAGGGTCCCGGCCCTTCCCTCAGCATACGCCCTCTTTGTGTCCTGTCCTACAAAGAGTCTGATGATCTTAAAGGATGTGCGTATTTTCATGTGTTAATCGGCACACACGCGCGTTTACTTTATATTTAAGACTAAGATATGTGAGACAGTAATACGTGTCCAAAGGGAGGAGTTGGTGCCAAATGAAAGATGTCAAATCAATCGCTTCAGCATAGAGAATTCACCCCCAGTTATCCCAGTATGTGCTCCGTGCTGAGGATGAGATTCTTTTGACTTATTAGTTCAGTTTATACAACAACATGGCAGAGTGTTTAAATTTAATCCATTTCATCATTTTATTTAGAAATACTGCATTTGATTCCTGGTAGCTTTATTGTTGCCCTCCTCTATGACTAGTATTCTAAAACAGAAAAGTCAATATATAATCAATTCATCTTCTACTTTTTTCTATTAAAATTTTTGTGTGGATGGTGTCAAGTCAGAGTGCATGTGGTGTGGATATATTAACAATAGTTAGAAGGTTAACACTACAGTTCATGCCACTATAATGTAAAGGAACTATTGGTAATATGGGATGTTTGCTTTTTATGAACACAAAACCCTAAAAGAAAATCTGATAAACTCCAAAAGAATTTCTTTTCTATATACAATATAGAGCAATGTCCCTCCCTGATCCCTGATCTCAGGAAAAAATATGCCAAAACCTTCCAGTTTGCAACAATCTGAGACAGACCTATAGTAACAACAAATGAAAATATTTATCATGGATATAAAAATAATGAAAAGTACAACATATTTGGTTCATGCATACATAAAAGGCATGGTTAAAAGTTCTTTTTATCTGTAAAGATAAAAATTTCAAGACCAAATGCCTGCACAATTGTGCAGAGTTTACACCTGGGGTTTGTGTAGGAAACTTCCACATCAGGTCCAAGTTGATTTACCTTGATCATAAGGTCAGACATGAATGTCAGTTCTGACCAAAGGTAGCCATAGTAGCATGCCGAGGATATTCAGAGCGGCACCAACAAAGCATTACAAATGACACATTTGCCAAAACCAAACAACAGGGACAGAACTGATGTTTGAGCAGGGGGCTCCACCACCAGGAGATGCACCAAAGGAGCAAAACATCATTGAATGTAGTCCCTGTCTGCAGCGGAGCCCATTGCACTATTGAAGATACAGGCAGAAATATCCAGAGACATCCACCTTTCCAGTTCAAAGAAATTCCTGGTTATCCAGTGACTACTGTGAAAAGGGCAGCTGGCATCCAGGAAAGCCTGTGCTGTGAGTGGGCAGCTGGTTACACAAACCTCTAGTCTTCCCGCCAGGACACCCACCACTAACTAGAAAAACAAACGCGAAGAAACAGCCTGCAGTCAAAAAGATCTTTACAACAGTCTCTCTTGCTGGAAATGAAGGCATGAACAAGCTTCTCTAAATCTTGTCTGGATATGATACCTTGGTTAGAGATGATAAAATGCTGATTTAGGTAGAATGGGTTGTAAGGAGTATAATGTGGCAACAAAATGCTTTCAAAAGCTTTGCAGTGTAGAATTATACAAGCTGAAAAATGAAGATCCTCGAGGCAGCACACATCATCTACTATATCTTTGGCTGCCTGCACCCTGCTCTTACAGCCTGTGGTACATTTGGGGAAACATCTGTGGCAATGGGCTCTATGGCCACGTGAACAGACAGAGCCAGAGTTAGGCATTAGATATTCCTCATGTAAGAAACATACTGTTTTGATAAACCTCTTCAATTAAGGTTAACAATGAAGGTCATGTGACCACTGCAGATTAGTATAATATAAATGTCTAATTAAGTGTGAAAATAGAGGAGGACATGTGATGAACTAGAAAGCTAATGGAGACACAAAGTCTGTTATGACCACCCGCTGGCAATTCAGGTCAGGTGAAGGACACTTTTGTAGCCTCATGCAAAATAACAGATCTGACTTAAGCATATGTAATGGCAATACCATTGACTGAGAGTAACTGTGTGGTTATTCTCTCAATAGCCATGAGCTGTCAGCCACAACCAGGCCATGATAATCGCTGAACTGGAACTGGTTTGATTATGTAAAAAGCACCCATCCATGGATTATTGCCTGAACCCTGAGTGACAGCTATACAACAAGCACGAACATTGATCCACCCTAAGTAACACGACTATGGAACCACTGACAAACACACAGTCTCCAATTATTCAGCTGGAAATATTCCTTAAGTGTGGCTGGTACCAGAAATATTGAGCAAAAATAAAGTTTGAAATCTGTGGCGTTTGCACAGCTAATTTGAAAAACAAATAATGACAAGCAATTCTATAATTATGGCATTCAAGTCCAGTCAAATAGGTTTTATTTACAGTATATGGACAAAACAAACAGTAAAATCACAGTATGAAGAAACAAGGTGACTGAAATAAAAACATAAAGGTAGATTAGTCAAATCATTCAATGATGACATAAGGATTCTTATTGTGAGTTTCACTAATGTCGGGATAGGGACTGCTGTGTCAGGGCATCAGTGGATTATTGGACCCACCCAGGGAACAAAGCAAATGCCGGGAGGGTGTTAAATTGAATTGATTGATGTAGTTATCTGAGATGGATGGTGAAAGGAGAGGATAAAATGTGAAAGCTGCAATAAAAATGGAACATCGAACAATATCATCAAACAAAGGTGAGTGAATCTTTATTGGATCACTCGAGCTGGCAGCATCACATTAATGTGTGCATATGGTCGATGACAAACCCTGGTGCCACATTTATTGAATTATGTGTCTAATCCTGGAGCACTGCGGACAACATTAAAAGCATTACTCACACCTGTGTCAACAATATCTGTGCAGTTTTTATGATAGATGGAACAAATAAGGGGATGAAAATATTCTGCGAGTGGCAACGACTCAGTGGATTCAATTGCTCAGTTGCTTTTGTATCAGTGTGCTGTTTACTCAGCTATGGTGTCATTTCCCATGTGCACATAGTGGAAATCTTTTCTCAATTCTAAATCAAATCCAAATGCTAATCTAATCAAATCTATTGTAATTTTTTTTTAAAAGAAGCTTTTTAACATTCTGTATTGCATAAAAATGTCAAATTACAGCCCCTGCAATTCATGGATTTAAGATGCCAAGGAGGGAAAAGGCAAACACACATCACAAAGAGTAATAATTAAAAAATGCAAGCGTGTTCAGAGAGCGCATGTACCTAAGGCACAACATTCACTCATGCAAACGGGTCCATTGTGAAAAATGAAATCCAGAACAACACAAAATGTGTCCTAAAATCCTTGATCTGGATCGGACACAGAACATCTTTTAGGGTACGATACAGTTCATCTTACCTGAACATTTCAGGGTTCTACCTCCATTATAGTCCAAGCTATGGCAGAAAATATGGGGTTGTCACGTCTTCAGGACAAAGGACATAACACAGAGGATAAGACAACAAACATTTACAAAAGAGACAACGGGATTTTTACATTTAATCTGTGTGTGTGTAGGTGTGTAGTGTGGGTGTATCCAACTCTATGCAGTCTGAGAGTCAATATGTATTAAAGAAAAATAAAATTAAACAAAATAAATTAATAAATTATGGAGGAAGGCCGGTAGGGGGTTAATTCAGCAAAGGACCAGTAGTGTACCAGTGATGCTCCCACCCTGAACCACCAGCACCGGCATAAGACACAGGAGCAGCTCAGCTGGGTGAGGTCATCCAGAGCAGCAGGACAGCAACATCCGTGTGTTTTGGTTAAGTTAAACAGTCTCTTTTTTTTTTTTATTGTTCATCATGGTTTATTTTAATAGTTGATCGTTGGGACTGAAACAGCTCAGGGTCGGCCCCTGGCCTTGACAGGAGAGGCCTGAATCAAGGCGTGGTGTATTCACCTACTAAAAAGCTCCCAGACCCTGAGGAGGGACCTTGTCTAAGAGGGTGTCAGCAGTTAAGGGAAAGGAAACAGTGGCCTGGCCTTCCTCCTCCATGCTGTCCACCCTGGACAGACCCCAAGAGTGACCACAAATTGCATGCCCCATCTGCTGGGGACAGGGCGGAGCAATAAAGCTGCAAATAAAAGCTTGTGAACTGACAGTCAACATATTACTAGAAAAGAAAAGGGAAAGAACAGAAGAGCAACAACTGTGGTCAGCAACACATACAGTAGCTCTCTGGGTTCAGTGGATGGAAAAAAGCAGCAGGATTTTACGATATATCTCATCACGCACATTCCTCCTCAGACACCATAAAAACATTCCATACCTTCCTTGAGGGCCAGCTTGCACAATTCCTATGCTCCCCCACACTGTTAACTCCATGTTTGTTTATAGAGCTTAATATTTCAATGCTCCCACAGTGAAATTGTATTATCCTATTTATCTGTTTCTATCTGCGCCTTACTTTAATTAACCCGAGAATTTATGCCAAGAATGACAAACAACTCCTGAGTTAAATCATTCATAAGATGCCAAAATGACTGCGGATATTTGTCATGTTGGTGGTATGTTTTTGTTTGCGGTTTATTTTCTCAGAACAATTTTCTCTCAGACTTCAGATTATTAGCCTGTGTGAGCCAAGCACTGACTCACTGGTCACCCAGAGCCTGAGACAAAAGAGATGGTACATTCCTTTTGGTGTCAGAACAGATTTTTACCGCAAAAATATTTGAAAAAAAAACAAAACAAAAAAACTACATACTGTACCTTTAATGCATTGCAGTTGTTGAGGTGGAGCTAAATTTAAAACACTGTTATGTTGTTATGAATGCATTGTTTGTAATAAGGGAAAGACACTCCCTACCTGGTAAATGCCTACATTTTTCAAACCTCAACATTTATTTATTTTTTACAGCTGAAGGTATCAGCTCACACAGTAGGCTGTCCATTAACTGCAGCTCCTCTTGTG